GCCGTATGATCAGGAAACTATCACGTACGGTTCGGTGACGAGTATTGACAACCCTAATAGTTTCGCTTAGGGATCAATGCTTAGTTCTATGATTTAATAACTGTATTTGTATTTATATTAATATTTCGTTTATTTGTACTTTTCACATATTACACTAGGCCATAAATGGCCTATTTTTGCACTAAAGTCTGGAAAAATATATATTTATTTAATCAGCTGATAACATTATTTATTATACTCTATCATCTAAATATATTTATCTATCTAGGCCGGCCCGCGGCGTTCCTTCGGCAGGAGCCCCGAAAAACCCAGGGCCGGATTCTTGCACCCCAGCGTCCTTTTTTCTCCTTTTTTCTCCGTTTTCTCCGTTTTTCTCTTTTTTCCCCCGTTTTCTCTTCCTCTTTTTTCTCCTTCTCTTTGTTTCTCTTTTTTTCCCGCAAGTCGGCTCGAGCTAGGCGCCTGTCCAATACACCGCCAGGTCTAGTAGCAGGGCCCGCGCAAGCCCGGCGCCTTCGCAGGGCCTAGTTGGCGTGGCCCGCTGCGCGCGGCCCTAAACACCCTACCCGTCTGCAAGAACATTCATCTACGCCTCAGAAACAACAAGGCCCTGCTGCTTTGAACCGGCGCATTTCGATGGGCTACTACGACATCGACGACATCCTAGCCGACGGCGAGAAGATCCCGTGCAGGTTCAACTTGCTGGTGCCCGGCCTCGGATATCTTGAAGGCAACCCGGGCAAAAGTATCGACAAAGACACCAAGCTCGACCTACCGTTGTGGTTGGCGGCGGTGTTGGCCGTGTGCACGATCCTGGACGACGCGGACGAGAGTTTCGTCGATCTTCTCGAGCCGGACTTCATCTCGCCCAAGGTCCTCAACGCCATCAAGGCGGACCCCAAGTCGGTGGACTTGCACTCGATCATGAGCCACTTCTACACGCTCGCCGAAAAGTGGGCTGCCATGTATAACGAGGCCCTGCTCGTGGAAACGGCCATGGCCATGTTGAAGGAGCGCGCGTTGGAGATCGACAACTTCGCGTCCAACAACACCAAACACGTCAGCTCCAACTTCTTGTACTCGTTGGATGAGTTCGAGAAAAAGTTGTACCGCGTCACCTACGAGAGCAAGAAGGAGATGCGGGCCTGGACCAACGACTAATGAATACACGACCCCCGCCGACTCTTCCCTGGTTGCCGTCCGCGATATGTCCCACGGCTTGTAGTGTTCTTACTCTTTGATTTATTGGTACATTGCGCTTTTCTCAAAAGAGCCCATCCTCGTCCTCCGAGCTGTCCTCAACCTTCTCCTCGGACTTGAAGCTCTTTTTCTTTCTGCTGGGCCCAGCATTCTCTTCCTCGCTTTCAGCCTGACCTCCTTCCCCGTCATTTTCTTCTTCGTCTTCGTCAACGATAGCCCTTCTCTTTCTCTTCACCCCCTTCTTTTGCGTGGGAGTCTTCTTCTTTGTGGGCGCCTCCTCGCCCTTGTCAGATGGGGCATCGGACTCCACGTCCGGTTCCGACACGTTGTCCTCGTCACTGTCATTGATGAAATCCTTCTTCTTGCCTTTACCCTTCTTCTTGCCTCCCTTCTTGGCAGACTTCTTCCCTTTCTCGCTTTCCTCGTCAAACATTTTGTCATCATCAGAGTCATTGGCGGCGATAGTAGCACGGGCTTCCTCTGCCCACTGTTGCGCCTGCTCTTGCAACTTGATTCTTTCCAAGGCCAAAGCCTCATTTCGCGCTTTTTCTTCTGCCAACGCAGCTTCAAGTTCTTGTGCTCGCTTGGTCTCTTCCTCCTCTCTCAACTTCTTGGCTTCCTCTAGCTTTGCGTTGAGCTGTGAGACATTCTCTTTCGTTTCATCCAAGCAAGTGTTCAACCGGCTGAGTAAAGTGGATCCCAAATTAGCTCTGGCCTTCAACTCGGATTGTGGGTATGGTGCATGCTTCTCATCTTCGGAAGACAAAGCGTTCAAACTCTCGATTGCATTATTCAAGTCAGCAATTGCGTCAACAATGTCGTCAGTCAATCGATTTTCAACCGATTGCTTGCTTATAAACTCCGCGATCTGAAACTGTATGAAAGCCACGTTGAAGATATACGGGCTTGCGACGCCAGTCGCATGTTTCAAAGCCTCCTTGGAATATTCAAGAGCTTTCTTTAAGTAGAGAAGGTTTTTCTCAGCCAAACCTCTCAAATACCATGCGCGGCCAAGGAAACCCAAAATCTTTGCGTCTTGGCCATTAGCGTATCGAGTCAGAGCAATTTCATAGCTTTCAATGGCTTTTGAGTATTGCTTCATTTCTGTCAAAACGTGGCCCAAGTTGAGATACACAGACATGTCGTTCAACGAATCTCTGATTTTTCTCAAAATATCCAAGCCTTGAGCAAGCTCCTTATTTTCGATGTAGACAATGGCAAACCCCTGTGCTGCAAACACGTTTTTGGGATCAATAGACAACACTTTGGTGAAGAGCTCGAGGGCTCTGATGTAGTACTTCTTCTTCTTTTCCTCGTCTCGTGGGTTTTTCAAATCCTTCGCCATTACGCAGTATATGTTGGCCAAAGATATCAATGCATATGAATCGTGCGAGTCGTATTCAACTAGGGTCTCTTTTTGATGAGTTGTGTCGGCATCAGGTTTCAACCCTAATTTCTTGCCAAAAGTCTTGATGAACCAGCCATAAAAGGATCTTATTTCCAAGTTAGAAGCATTCTCATGCAACAAGTCCTTGATTTCTTTCTCGATTTCCTGTTTAGACGAGGCATTGCTTGAAACAGCATCTAAGAATAAGAGTCTAAGCTTTGCTGAGAAGTATGCTGGACACTCCTCAAGCAACTTATTGTAGAGCTCCACTGCCTTGCTCGCATCACTGACTTCCTGTGTTCTGGCCAAATTGAAAGAAATTGGGATTTTCAAGTCCTCTCTCAATTCTTCGGGAATTTCGCTGTCTTCCAACTTAGCAAGAGCAGTTTCGAGGTACTTAACTGCATCCTCAGTGTTGTTCTTTGTGTAGTTGAAAACACCCATGTTGTTGTAGACCTCAGCGGGAGCATCTAGTCCAATTTGCTGTCTGGATTCAACTGCTTTGTGCAAATACGTTAAAGATTGAGAAACATCGCTACCTTCATAGAGCTTACTCAAAGTCAAGAATGCATTTAATGCAATTGGCTCTTTATTCAAATAAGCCTCGGCATCCTTCTTGTTGGCCACAGCGGAACCTCTGTTGTTTGACAACCTGATGTATCGTTCCAACAATTGAATGGCTTGTTCTTGTTTCGTTCTTGAAGGGCTTTGAGAGTAAAGTATCCCCAAAGAGTAAATGACCTCCAAGCATTTACTGTTTGTCTTTAGGATAGACTCAAATGTTATGATTGCCTCTTCAGTCAGGTTTCTGCTGAGCTGAGATTGGCCGACTCCTAGTTTCGCAAGGAGGTTGTTTTCATTGAGTCTGATCGCCTCGTGGAAATTCTTCTGGGACTGGGTGAAATCTCCCCTAGAATATGCCACTCTCCCGAGCCAGAACGAGCAGCTGGAGAGAAGCTTGGAGGTAAAGGGAGACAATTTGGAGCCGGCCAGGCTCGTAATGACGTTCTCATTGAGCGAAGACACGACCTTGGCAATGATCTTTTCCACCAAATCGAAATCCCCCTTTGAAAAGTAGTAGGAGCAAAGTGACAAGAGAATGACAGGATCCAGCGGTTTCTCTAGATGCAAGCTGGATAACTGTTTGAGTGACTTGGAGTATCCTTGAAGAAACAAGTCGTCCGATAAAGAGTTTGTGAAGACCTCGTCGAATGAGGCCAAGTTGAGGAGTAGCTTTGCCTTGAAATTGCTTGGGTCAAGTTCGAGCACCCTCTCCCACGCACTAAGCGCCAACTCGCGCTCCTTCAAGAACCAGTAGCAGATGCCAATTCCAAGCCGCGGGTCGGGCTTCATCGCAGGGTTCGAAACCAAAACCTGCTGGTAGAGCTTTAACGCGTTGGTGTAGTTTTGGGTCTTGCTCAACGTGATCTGGGCCTTGCCGAGAAGACCATAGCAGTTATTGGGGTCTTGTTTCAAGAGCCTGTCAAAGAGCTGGAGAGCAATATCCGCACGGTCAGTAAGCAAATGCACTTGTGCTTGCGCCAAGAGCGCATTCGTGGTGGTGGAGTCGCCGGTTTGTGCCAAGTGCTCGTTGGCAAGCTCGATGTTTTTGGCTTTTTCAACTCCTTCCGCTGCCAACGCCAAGCGCGTCCATGCAATGGTGAAGTGCAAAAGCACTCTATCTTCCAGAGACATGTAGTCCATCAGAAGACCCGTTTCGGCAATCGCAGCCCCATCTGCGGCTTGCCCAGCCTGGGAATATGCTTGCAGCACAAGAATCCAGTATTTGACCGCGCAGCTTTCAGCCTGCAAAAACGTCTCGAGTTCCAGAGCGTCCTCAGGAAGCTCGTCGATGGTGACAATATCCCCACTGCCGATCACGATTTCCACCGTTTTCAAGGACTCCGGGGCACCTGCGCCCAAGTAGTACGAAATGTCCAGAGGTTCCTCCATTGAGCCAGGGTAGTCAGAGATCAAAGTTAGTCGGTTTCAGCGCACAACTCTGATCGGAAAGTCACTTGTTTTCTCAGTTTTTTCTGGCGTCAATGAACACTCTTGAGGTGCTGGTAGCACATCCGTACCTCCCGGGCGCCGGTGGGCACCGGGGATTTTCTGGACAGACATTCCTTCTCAGGACTTCAGCGAGTTGAGTGGGTGTTGACGGCCTTTCTGGGGCATACAGCATCAGACGGCAGCGAGGACTTATTCTCAATGGAGCTTGTGCTTCGGATTCAGAACCTCAACTTCCCGCGTGTCCTGATGTCTCGACGTGAGTAAACCCAGTAGATTTTGCCGAATTCAGAAATACCCCACCTATCTACAGACGGCATTGATGTGCTTATTAATATACTTGTAAATTTTCATTTGTTTAGAACAAATCCAAATACACAAAGGGCGTTGTGAAGCTGGTGCGATGAACCGGGCGAGTCACCGTTTGCGGAAATTAACTGAAGTCTCACTCGTTTAACTTGTATAAACTCAAGATTCTTTATGTCAAAAATCGGTTCTCCTTCCGTTGAGCAACGCCTGTCTGAAAAAATCTTGAAGCCCCCTTTCACAGCGTCAAATCAATATACTCGGTATGGGGCCTCCCGCTCACATACTTTATCAAACTAGGACACCATTTGGATAGCCGTGTATCATTGCTGGTTAATCGAAGTCGCACTTTGCAGCAAAAAAAAATCAATCCGCACAATTCAGGCCCCAGGCACTCATCACAAAGCTTGGTGAGATTTAGTGTCGGGATAAGAAACAAAATGCCCAGTGAGTTTTGTTTCACGACAAATGTAAATACTCGTTTTTTCTGCTGAAACATCGCTCGGTTTTAGGTATTTTGGTTTTGAATCGGAACAGTAGACAAACGTGAAATGAACCTCCGCCTATGCGAGGAAAGGCCAGAAAGGTCAGCCCCCATATTTGGAGCCGATCGAAATACAAACTTCGGCTTTTTGCAAGGGCTGGCTGAAAACACGTGGCTGCTTACATTTATTTTACACTCACCGAACAGATAGGCTTCTACACAGCCATTTGGGGCAGTTGGACACAAGAACATCACAGGCTTTAAGTGCAGTAACATAAAATTTTCAACATGTTGCGCAAAAAAAGGCACACCTAAGCCAAAAAAAAATTAGAGAGCTGACGTCTTATACTGACACTTTACCCCAGCACCACAAATACCAATAAACACCATGGAGAACGATGCTGCTGCTAAATCCATTGAAATGTGGAAGATCAAGAAATTGATCAAGTCGCTTGAGATGGCCCGTGGTAACGGAACGTCGATGATCTCGTTGATCATCCCACCTAAAGGTCAGATTTCGCTCACACAAAAGATGTTGACGGAAGAATACGGCACTGCGCTGAACATCAAGTCACGTGTCAACCGGTTGTCGGTTTTGTCTGCCATCACGTCCACGCAGCAGAAGTTGAAGTTGTACTCGCACGTGCCCAAGAACGGGTTGGTCATTTACTGTGGAGATGTGCTCACGGACGAAGGAAAGGAGAAGAAGTTGAACATTGATTTCGAGCCCTTCAAGCCCATCAACACCTCCTTGTACTTGTGTGACAACAAGTTCCACGTCGAGGCGCTTTCGGAGTTGTTGCAGGATGATGACAGATTCGGATTCATTGTGATGGACGGTAACGGTGCGCTTTTTGGTGCCGTTTCAGGAAACAACAGAGACGTCTTACACAAGTTCACCGTGGACTTGCCCAAGAAACACGGAAGAGGTGGTCAGTCCGCCATGCGTTTCTCGCGGTTGAGAGAGGAGAAAAGACACAACTACGTGAGAAAGGTTGCCGAGGTTGCCGTGCAGAACTTCATTGAAAACGACAAGGTCAACGTCAAGGGCTTGATTTTGGCCGGTTCCGCCGACTTCAAAAACGAGTTGTCCAAGTCGGACTTGTTTGACGGCCGTTTGCAGGCACGTGTCATTAAGATTGTCGATATTTCTTACGGAGGAGAGAACGGTTTCAACCAGGCCGTGGACCTCTCTGCCGAGACGTTGGCCAACGTCAAGTTCGTGCAGGAAAAGAAGTTGTTGAACCAGTACTTCGACGAGATCTCGCAAGACTCGGGCAGATTCTGCTACTCCATTGATGACACTTTGAAGGCGCTCGACTTGGGTGCTTGTGAGGTGGTTATTGTGTACGAGAACTTGAACATCGTCAGATACACTTTGAAGGACAGCGAAGACAACGAGGTCATCGTCAACGTCAACCCAGACTTGCCCGACAAGTCCTACATGTTGGACAAGGCCACGGGCACCGAGATGGAGATCGTCAAAGAGGAGATGTTCTTGGAATGGTTGGCTGAGAACTACAAGTCCTTTGGAGCCACGCTTGAATTCGTCACCGACAGATCGTCCGAGGGTGCTCAGTTCGTACAAGGCTTCGGTGGTATCGGAGCCCTTTTGAGATACAAGGTGAACTTCGACGCGTTGGTGGACGAGTCCGAGGAAGACGAATACTACGACGACAGCGACGACGACTTTATCTAAGCATACACTTCTTCTTCTCACATCTGTACCTTTAGCAATACATTCATTCAATTAGTTCCGAAAAACGCATGTGCTGCTGAGGCTCTCCTGATATACATGGAGCCCTACTGCTTCTTACTCACTCTGTTGCGCAGGCCTCGGAGCTCGTCCAAAGCCTTGACCAGCTTCTTGCCCAAAATGGTGTCGGACGTGTTTCCCGACACGATCTGGTGGGCCAAGTTTTCCAATCCACTGGTGATGTATGAACGCCTGTGGTTGCTCCGCAAGGGCTTGGCCAAAAGCTGCTTGAGCTGGAACCGGAGCTCTTTTTGTTGCTCTCTGGTGAGCTGCTTCCGCTGCTTCCGCTCTCTTTGCTTTTTGATCACGTCATCCTCAAAGTCGTCCACATCAGAGAGGTTTTCGATGCCCAAGTCCTCCGCGGCTTGCCTGAGCCAAGAGCTTTCCTTTCTTGTGGCGGTGCCCGCAATGGAAGAGTCGCCCAATTTGCCGGCCAACTGCACCCTCTCACGGATCTGGGAGAGAATGTCGAGATCGATGGGAAGCAATTTGACGTCGGCTCTCGTGTTGAGTTTTGTCTTTTCGGCGCTGGAAGCCAAGAGCTTTCGGAGCTTTTTCAAAGGACCCGAGGCCTCCTGTGGCGAGCAGAACATCACCGACACACCTTCCTTGCCTGCACGAGCAGTTCTTCCGGACCGATGCACGTAGATATCAGCAGAACGGGGCAAATGGTAGTGAGCCACGTGATCGATGTTAGGGATATCGAGGCCTCTGGCGGCGACATCCGTGGCTATGAGCACTGAGCTCTTGTTTTTGGCACAGGAAGCATTGAAGCGCTCCAAAGCACGCAATCTTTGTTTCTGCATCATAGCAGAATGGATGGAGAACGCCGGGATGTTGAGGTTCTCCAATAGAGGCACAAGTCTTCTCACGGACTCCACCGAATTGGCAAAGACGAGGGTCGAGCCTGGATACGTGAGCACAAAGTAGTAGATATACAAATCCCGCTCGGTTGGCCCACACTCCACAAGCGCCTCGGTGACCTGGCCCGAGACGATTTCCTTGGGGTTGGCATCACAGAGAGAAGGGCGAGGGTCCTTGAACTTGAGCTTTTTCTTCAAGAGCTCGAGGATCTCGTCGTTTCCAATGAGCCCCGTGGTGGCCGACGAATTGTCCTTTTTGTTGGTGCGGTCGAGCTTTCCAAAGAACTCACGCGAGAACGTGGCGGAGAACACCAAAGTTTGCCATCTCCAGCCGTATTCTTTCTTGGACCTGAACTTCTCCATGAGTTCCAAGATTTTCTCGAACTCCTCGAAATGCCCGTCCTGAAGTAATCTGTCTGCCTCGTCCAAAACAACAATGTCGGTGGCAGCCATTCTCCTAAGAAGATCCTCGCTTTTCTCGATGAGCTCGAGGAATCTCCCAGGAGTTGCTACAATGACACCCGGGCCGTATGATAGCAATCTTTCTTGTTTCTGCGCAGAAAGACCACCGGTGATGGACACAATTCCGTTCTGTGCGAGCGGCGAGTACTTGGAAATCTCGTTCATGTGGAGCACCACCTGGTGAGCCAACTCTCTTGTAGGAGCGAAAATGATCCCGGAGGGAGGTGAGACGGTGTCTGGTTTCCCGGCCGTTAGAGCCGCAGAAAGCTTGGAGAGATACCTCTCCAAGATCGGAATCCCGTACGCCAAAGTCTTACCGGACCCGGTGGTGGCCTTACCAATGACATCCTTACCACTAAGAGCCAAAGGGATGGTTTCTTTTTGGATAGGCGTGGGCTGCGTGAAGCCATTTCCCTGGAGCCCATTCAAGGTGTACGAGCTAAGCGGCAAAGAAGCCCAAAGAGGCAAGTCGATGTCGTTTTCGTCGGGAAGGACCGTGTCCAAGCCCGTGAAAGCATTGGACCTGAGCTCGTCCAATTCTTGTGTTTTCTGTGTGTCGTTGTGGACTGGCTCCAGATCCTCAAAACCCGTAAATTCATCTTCCAATTCGCCGTCAGTGTCGCTGGCCGAGGCGCTGTGCTTGACAGCCAGTTCTTCATCTGTGGCGCTGGGCTTCCCGGCAGCCTCAGGCTTGTTCGCTTTGTTCTCACTTTTGGCTTTAGGCTTTTCACCTTTTTCTTGTGGCTGCTCGCGTTCGTCATTTTGGGCCTCTTTCTTTCCCTTCTTGGGCTCAGGCTTGTTTTCCTCTGCGTCTCTCTTAGCCTTTTCCTTCTTTTGTTTGGCCTTCTTCTTCGCACCCTTCGGATCAAGCAATTTGTCCACAATGCTTCCGTCGTCCTCGGTCTCTTTGGCAATGAATTCAGGAGCGCCGTTGACCATACGGACATCCACACCCTCCAACTCCTCCAAGCCGAAAAAACCGCTGTAGTCTCCAAGGTTGTCTGGAATGTCGACAGACTTCCATTTCACTTGGTCTGCGGTGATGATCTTGTTCTGACTGGCATACCTCTGCTTGAGCGTCGGGGTTTTTTCCTGCTTTTTGGGGGTTCTTTTCCAGCTTCCAGAAGAGCCGGCATTGCCGGTCTTTCCCGACTTCTTACCCGTATTTCCTTTGCCAGCAGCCATTTTACAGTTAAAGTCCGAAGCACAGCGAAGAGCTTTTTTTCGCATCCGGTTAGATGAGCGAGCAGTCAGAGTGCATCCTGCCAGACTAGGGTTTCCGGGCCAAATATGGAAAAGTGGAATTGTTGGAAAAGAGGAAAGAAAATAGAGACTTGTGGACGGTAAGACATCTCAAAAGCCTAGATTCCATGTATAAATACATTCATTGGCATGTAGCTCGGACAGTGGCATGAGAACGCTTGTGACTGAAGGCATCCGCCACCCTCCAACCCGATTGCAAGGAACTGGGTATATGAATACATGGGGTCGGCCTTCGCTTTTCAGAGCTCTGGAATATCTGATTATTTGCCGTGTATTCTTGGGTTCGGGCTACTAAAGCCGGAGGTCACGTGACCCAACGTATTATCGATGCACTTGGCGATGACTAGAAAGCCCGGCATCTTACCCATCAAGAACCAACTTTGCGTCGCCACAGACAATTTCTGGTGATCGAATCTCACAGAGCCACACAAAACCCCTGTTTTCCTCGCAAAAAGTGTCTGTTATTTACATCGCTCACCAGAGATGCTTCGAAAACCAAAGACCATCACCACCAGCAAAACTGCGCCCAAAACTCTCAAGCCTCAGAAGGCCAGGCAACTAATTCGCAGATTCCACAACCTCCAGAAATGGAAGGCCATTCTTCTCAAAAGACTCCAGCTCCAATACCCGGATTTAGATGAAAAACTGTATCTGAAGAGTCTCGGGTCTGCATATACACTGCATTACCATCTGTTTAGATTGCCCAAAGCTACCGAAACAACTCCGGATTCTGCTATTACAGATAGCAAGGCGCCAGCGGCAAAAGTCATTGAATGCCTAGCGAGAATTGACGCGGAAATCGACCAAAGAGGTGGCCTTCATGTCTACCAAATGGCCTCAACTGTGGGCCAGGATCACCAGCGTGGAGGAGACTCGCTGAAATGGCTCGTCAAGTGGTTTGAGCAACAGACCCGTCGTGCATCATCAACACTCGAAATCGGCTGCCTATCGGCATCAAACGCTATTCTGACATGTGGCCGGTTTGGCGATATGACTAGAATTGATCTAAATTCCCAGAGCCCTCAAATTTTGCAACAGGACTTCATGGAAAGACCACTCCCAAAGTCCAAGAATGATCTTTTCGACGTGATATCATGCTCTTTGGTGCTAAATTTTGTACCGAGTGCCTCTCAAAGAGGAGAAATGCTCCATCGCATGACGCAATTTCTTCGTGAGCCTGTGACCCATAAGGACAGGCAAGATCAATCATGTAAGACCTCCGCCTTATTTTTAGTCCTTCCGCTTCCATGCTTGTCAAACTCGCGGTACTTCGATCGTGAATGTCTCAATGAGGTCATGACTAGTTTGGGCTTTGAAGAGGTTCAAAGCCACGAGGCAAAGAAAGTCATATATTTGCTTTACAACTGGAAGGGGAAAAGTGCCATGACGCAATTATCGGCACGCAAAAAGCGTGAAATACACTCTGGGCCCACTCGCAATAATTTCTATATTGACATGAACCAGAAGTGACCTGAAAAATTCTCTTTCGATGTTTCAAGACTTTTTCTTGTGACATCAATGTTTATTCCGCTCAACAATCAAACTCGGACACACCTTTGTAAAATTATGCATTCGTGTATTTATGTACTCTTCCAATGTCGTCTTATCTCTCATTCAAGCTAAAATTTCGAGAGCTCTGTATGCCCAAACCACGAATCTAATCAACGGGTTTGGGTGAAGTGTGTACGAATACTTCCTCATACAACGGCTCAACACGAGGACTGCTGGGTAATGAGCATCAGGCGATTGTTGTACATCGCCATATATTGCCCTATACTGGGGGCTTTTTGAATGGCCTATTTACGAGAGTGATTATTCGTATTTCACTCGGGGTTAATTCGTCGATTGAAGCGAAATCAAATCATTCGTACCCCAAAGGACAGAAGCTCAAAGCGGTGGACCTAAGAAAACCCCAAAAAGTTCGCAGCTTCCAGGAAGAGTTTCAAAATTTCTTCTTTCTAGCCATGTTGAATAGACATCAACAAGGGCAGCACTTGCCGCAGAAGTTCGCTTGTATTTTTCAGCAGTGCCCATCTTGCAAGTTTCTATATAGGTTCTGAGTTCTGTGAATAAATTGAAATTTAGAATTGCCCTTAAGTAACTCGCTAAGAACAAAAGCAAATGAATTTACTTCGTGAGATGACACGGAATAGCAATCTTACACAAGCTAGTTTAATAAGAATAAACCAATGTTCTCGTTAGATTCTCAACAGAATTGAAAAATACATACCAAGCGGGCTCCCAAGGGAGAAACATTTTCATACAAGGACAGTGAGATGTATGGAGTTTTGAGGGAATACATGGATTGATCAAGTGGTATTGTCATATCAGTCTTTTTTGAGTTCCCTTGATGTGAACTGGACTTAAGTGCGAATTTCTCTACTACGAACACCCAATGAGCGACTTGTAAAAATCGAGGAATGACCAAATTCGAAGGGCAAGGGAATGAGTAAGAATGTGAATTCACATACGAAGGGCCGCTATTCCGAATAGAAATCGGTCCGAGATCCAAATCCTCGCTTAGTATTTGCCTCTGCTATATCGTAGCCAAAAAGATTTTTAGTCAGCAGATTGCTCTACAAACGCGAATAACTCCGAATGTTAGATTTTAGTCAGCTGATTAAAATGTGGAAATTTCAGACACGCAAGCAGCTTTCTCAGTTACGAAATCAGAGTCGGATAAACTTGGAATTTCTGGCATCTGAATGCAGTATCCGCATTTAGCCCGCAAAGAATGACCATATCACGTGATACCTTGATTTAAGCAGAGTGGAGTCCCCAATTGGTTAGTGCATAATGGGGTGGGGAACCCCGGACCCCAGCGGTGCGACCAGAAAACGCAGGTCACAAACCTATTTGCTATGCGTTTCGAGGACCATCACCCCACTTTGCGTGGGGGCATCGGCCGGAAAAAAAATGCGCGCTTCAATATGCCGCCCGTGAACGCTGATAATTTTTTTTGATCAGTTGGGTGTCAAGCACTAGCGCAGGCAGCGAACAAGCTGTTTTTTTTTTTTTACCTCACTCAAGATATTTGAAAACTTTGCAGATCCTAGAGCCTAAACACTGCCGGGACTCATCCCTCTTTTCTTTAGGACCTCCGCAGTCAGTTGGTCGGAGCAGCCAGCATTGCTGCGCGTATGGTATATAAAGCACAAAAATCTTTTGAGATGCATATGCGCCTTGCCGCAGGCTGTTCCCAAGCTGTCGATTATTCCGCCAAGGCCTCAGTGTCGGACTTTTTTCTTCAATGAAATTCTTCTCCAACCCTTTGGAGTATTATATCCAAATTTTTAGAGAGGTTTTGTGTAGTGCTTGGTAGAGAATATTAAAAAGACTCTTTTCTTGAATCACAACATTACAATAAAAAAGTATCTTGCGGCCGGGAATGTGGCCTCCGGAAGATTTCTCATAGTTTTTCCGGGGACACGGAGAAACCTGGAGTTTTCATGTGTATGGGACTATAATGCATAGTGCATGCAGAGTATTGGCCAATTAGGATCATCCGTGCGCGCATCCGACATGCAAAAAAGGGAAATAAGCCGCCCGACAGAAATTGTAACGCCGGAAAAACTTATAAATACCGAGCCATCTTTCCCGACAAAATTTCCCTCCCCTCAAAGTTTTCAAGTAACATAAATTAATAAAATGTCTCAATCACAAGACGAGTTGCAGTCCAAACTGGGCGTTGATACGCCGATCAACGACTCCCTTTTCGAGGCGAAGGAGGAAAGCCCTCTTGCCGTCTTGCCCGAAAAGCATTTCAAAGACTACATTTCCATTTCTGTGTTCTGCTTGTTTGTTGCCTTCGGTGGCTTTGTTTTCGGCTTCGACACTGGTACCATTTCGGGTTTTGTTAACATGTCAGACTTCACAACCAGATTTGGCCAGCTCAATGCTGATGGAACTTACTACTTGTCCGATGTCAGAACCGGTTTGTTGGTTTCTATCTTCAATGTTGGTTGTGCAGTTGGTGGAATTTTTCTTTGCAAGATCGCAGATGTTTACGGCAGAAGAATGGGTCTTATGTTCTCGATGGTTATTTACGTTGTCGGTATCATTATCCAAATCTCGTCTACTACTAAGTGGTACCAATATTTTATCGGTCGTCTTATTGCCGGTTTAGCTGTCGGAACGGTTTCGGTTGTTTCTCCGCTTTTCATTTCTGAGGTTGCCCCAAAACAGCTCAGAGGTACTCTTGTCTGTTGTTTCCAGTTGTGTATTACCTTGGGTATTTTCTTGGGATACTGCACAACTTACGGTACAAAGTCTTACAGTGACTCCAGACAATGGAGAATTCCTTTGGGCTTGTGTTTTGCCTGGGCGTTGTTCTTGGTGGCTGGTATGTTGAACATGCCTGAGTCTCCAAGATATTTGGTGGAGAAATCAAGAATTGAGGAGGCCAGAAAGTCCATTGCCAGATCCAACAAGGTTAATGAGGAGGACCCTGCAGTATACACTGAGGTGCAACTCATCCAAGCCGGAATTGACAGAGAGGCTCTTGCTGGTAAGGCTTCTTGGGGCGAACTTATCACTGGTAAGCCAAAGATCTTGAGAAGAGTTATCATGGGTATCATGCTTCAATCTTTGCAGCAATTGACTGGTGACAACTACTTCTTCTACTACGGTACTACAATTTTCCAGGCGGTTGGTTTGCAAGACTCTTTCCAGACCTCCATCATCTTGGGTATAGTCAACTTCGCCTCGACCTTTGTTGGTATCTATGCCATCGAGAGAATGGGAAGAAGATTGTGTTTGTTGACCGGTTCCGCCTGCATGTTTGTTTGTTTCATTATCTACTCATTGATTGGTACCCAGCACTTGTACAAGGATGGCTTTTCAAACGACCCTTCCAACACCTACAAGCCTTCAGGTGACGCAATGATATTCATCACTTGTCTTTACATCTTTTTCTTTGCCTCGACCTGGGCCGGTGGTGTTTACTGTATCATTTCCGAATCATACCCATTGAGAATCAGATCCAAAGCCATGTCTGTGGCGACAGCCGCCAACTGGATGTGGGGTTTCTTGATTTCATTCTTTACCCCATTCATCACGTCTGCCATCCACTTTTACTACGGCTTCGTGTTTACTGGCTGCTTGTTGTTTTCGTTCTTCTACGTCTATTTCTTTGTTGTTGAGACCAAGGGTCTTTCTTTGGAAGAAGTTGACATTTTGTATGCTTCCGGCACTCTTCCTTGGAAGTCATCCGGATGGGTTCCTCCTTCTGTGGAAGACATGGCCAAAAACACTTTTGAAAGCAAGCCAACTGACGAGCACGTATAAACTACATTCACACATGTTTCACCCATTAGACATATATATAGAAGGGACATCAAATACAATTAATTTCACGAAACTACTAATCTTTGGAAGGTGAGAAGCGAATGTTGCACGCACAGGAAAGTACATCTTCCTCTTCTAAATTTCAAAGAACAAGTCAGGCCACCGTCAAAATCTCGGCCACGAGCTTGACTAGACTGGATGGTGTCCAAACCAATGTGAAGATTTTATAGTTAGGCGAATGTTCATGAGTAAATTGCCCTTTCTTTTTGGCCTTTTCCGCCTGACAAAGAAAGGAGGGAGCAGAAAACCAACATTACTACGGCTTCGAGAGAATCAGTCATAAGATTTCGACTCATGAGACATCAACACGAATTCGCTCGCTTAAACCTAAAACCCGTAACGCGTAGCGGTGATTCTTCCTCTTACTTATGAAGCAGTGTCGATTATTACCTCAATGGGATATTCGAGCTTACAAATCCATGTGCTCAGTTGGAGCAATGAATACGGAGAAAATTGAAAATCTGGCTTATAGCTTTTTTTTGTTTTACATTTGAACATTGTACTATGAGAGAACGCATCAAGCCACTAAAGCATCAGGCCACTACATGCATCAAGCAACCATATTCATGTCTCTCTGTGCACCTCAGGTATTTATAAACACATCATACAATTCTCATAATATACAGGCCAGCAAGGTCTGGGATTAGGAAACTTCAAAGCTGCCGCATGTGTGCCTGTTGATACCTTATGCTTCCCTCCCTGTTTTCTTTTCGCAGGGTAACTAGGGGCTCGGTCGAAAGGATCCTGTCACGATGACCCAGGGGCTTACGCCAGCTTTCAGCTGCCTGACAGGCTTAGCCCTGCTTGTGTGCAAGACTGGCATCACAGATATTTCCCCGAGAATCAGCGCGCCCTGTGCTGGTCACGTGATAGCGTCGCTGCGGCTATATCCGAGGAGCACCACAAAGCAGCGTACCCCCGGTGACTAGCATCCCCCTTTCGGCCTCAAGACTGACGCACGGCACATGCCTATGTCCACTCTGACACACACTAGATGCGGCGAGTGTGGACCCGGCATGTCGGCAGCACCTGCAAAAGAGGCAGCGCGCGAATCACGTGATTCTCGGTGCGAGCCTCGCTGTTGCGCCCTGCCGCATTCGGCGTTCGTTACCCCTCTAGCGGCCAAACTCGGGTGCACGCATCTCACGTCCTGTGTGCCGGCAACTGCCCACTTCATGACTCCCCCCTCGGACTTAGGGTCGTATGGATAGGAGTTCATATGCTCATACTTCAGTGAGGGGAAGCCCCAATCACAAGACATCCCCAAGCGTGGGGGCAAATATAAAACGGCGGGCCTCGGCTGGGGCCAATCCCGCTGCCCAGGAAAAAACAGTAGCCGGCCTGTCGCCTCGTCACGTGCTGCACTTTCCCCCTCCGACGTCCGCCATCTAATTAATTTCGAGTCATCGACGTACATATTGACTCACCGTAAACCGCTCCCGAAAATTTTCCCCAGCGGCTTTCTTATAAATACCAACACGCGACATATCAATCTCGCGCCGGTCACAAAATTTCACCTGCCCCGATTTTTCGTCTTTGTCCCTGACGCCGCAAAAAGCCAAACCGCCGCAAAATGTCTAGCATGCTCAGACCTTCCACCAGATCATTTTCCGTCGCAGCCAGATTGGCCAAATGGAAGGAGGTGCCTTTGGCCCCCCCAGACAAGATTCTTGGAATCAGCGAGGCTTACCAGAAGGACTCGAACTCCAAGAAAATCAACTTGGGCGTGGGTGCCTACAGAGACAACTCCGGCAAACCCATCGTGTTCCCTTCGGTCAAGAAGGCCGAGACCGTGTTGTTGGAGAAAGAGACCGACAAGGAGTACACAGGCATCATCGGCTCCAAGAACTACCAGAACGCGGTGAGAAACTTCATTTTCAACAACTCCGACAAGGACGCCAACGGCGCCAAGTTGATTGGCGACAACAGAATCGTCACCGCACAGACCATATCGGGAACCGGCTCCTTGCGTGTCATTGCCGACTTCTTGAAGAGATTCTACTCCGTGGAGAAGATCATAGTGCCCAAGCCCACGTGGGCCAACCACGTGGCGGTGTTCACGGACGCCGGCATTTCCGCGGACTACTACGCGTACTACGACAAGAGCAACAACTCGTTGGACTATGCCAACTTGAAGCAGTCCATCTCTGCCGCCGAGAACGAGTCGGTGATTCTCCTCCACGCCTGCTGCCACAACCCCACCGGCATGGACTTGACTGCCGAGCAGTGGGAGGAGGTGTTGGCCATCATCCAGGAGAAGAAGCTCTTCCCCTTGATCGACATGGCGTACCAGGGCTTCGCGTCCGGCTCGCCCTACAAGGACATCTCGTTGATCCGCAGAATGAACGAGTTGGTCGTGGAGGGCAAGATCCCCACGTACGCGTTGTGCCAGTCGTTCGCCAAGAACATGGGCTTGTACGGCGAGAGAACCGGCTCCATCTCGATAGTCACGGAGTCCGCGGCGCAGTCGAGCGCCATCGAGTCGCAGTTGAAGAAGCTCATCAGACCCATGTACTCGAACCCTCCTATCCACGGCTCCAGAATCGTCGAGACCATTTTCTCCGACCAGAACTTGTTGAACGAGTGGTTGGCTGACTTGGACTCTGTGGTGGGCCGCTTGAACGTGGTCAGAGACAAGTTGTACCAGAAGTTGGACAAGACCAACTACAACTGGGACCACTTGTTGAAGCAGAGGGGTATGTTCATCTACACCGGGTTGTCTGCCAAGCAGGTTATTGAGTTGAGGGAGAAGTACTCCGTGTACGCCACGGAGGACGGCCGGTTCTCGATTTCCGGCGTCAACGAGAACAACGTCGACTACTTGGCCGACGCCATCAACAAGGTGATCAGCAAATAGGCGTGCCGAGGCGGGTGCTCGAAGTCACGTGCGTGGCGAGAGTGTGCGTAGTTAATAATATCATGGGCCCCACGAATATACAAGGTGGTTTGACTCAGGCGGCCTCAGGCAGTCTGTCGCTTGCTCCATGCAGACGCGACAGACCCGGGGCCCTCCCGCTGTCGAGAATGCGGCAGCTATTTTCGATGGCGTGGGGCCATCAAACCTGGAATGTAGAACTTGGCATCGTGTGGAAAAGCGCCCTCGTGAAGATGCCAAAAACCCGCGTCTTGTCCTTGGAGTCGGGCTGAACCGAGGGAGGTTCCTGGCGGATTCCGCTGTCCATTATGGTCGACCCGACTGTGCTGTTAATCAGGACTAGTCGACCCGGCGATTCCCTAGTGTAGCTCAATCTGCGAATATATATTGGGTGCGAGTCAGGTGAAATTAGACAACGATCATCTGGTCACGGGTCAATCTAATACTCATGGCACAGGTGCAGGGGCCTGCCCTCGTCCACGAGAGTGTGTGCCTTTGAATCTTGTGATGTGACTTATCTGGAATATGATGATTTCGAATGAATCTCGTGATATAATAGGGCTCGAACTAACATAGGTCAAGGATTATTGTCATAAAAAAAGTACCGTGGTCACAGTATAGCATGATGTCTCTCTAGATGGCGTATTCCGCGCGACATTCCGCAAACTAGTCCATGCAACCTCACTGAAACACATGTTTTCTCCACTCCATTTTCTTTCCCTTCCCTATTTTTTTTCCATCGACAATAACTCGTTGTGCCAGAAACTCCTGTTGTTCTGCACAAGCCTGTCCTTTCGATACAGGCGTCGCTGCTCAGATTGGCTGACAATATGCTTCGGCATCTGGATGCATCTGGATGCAAAAACAGGCCAAAGCCTCGAAACACAACAGGCGCTGGGTCTGCTCTAATGTCCAGATCCATACTAGCTACTAACCATTCATACACTTGGCCCGCAAATCTCGGGCTTGTAAACATGGGGCCAAATGTCCCAAACATGTCGGCGGCTATTGCCCTCTTTTCAAGGGGGTTTTAAGGTTGGCGCTCCCATTCTCCCATTGGGCGCAACTTGCATGCCTGCGCACGGCTGCCCCACCGAAATACCCTAAATTAACCCGATGTTTCGGCGAGACCCCTCAACACCACTTTAGGAGCAGGAACAAGCGACGCTTTTCTCTTGCCCCGTACTTGCTTTTCCAATTGCACCACGGCACAAACAGAGGAAAAAACACTGCATCCCAAAATGGCCACGACTGTCCCCACCACCGCTTTCCAGGACCAAAAACCAGGCACCTCGGGGCTCCGGAAAAAAGTGACCGTGTTCCAGCAACCCCACTACACGGAAAACTTCATCCAAGCAATCCTCAATGCGATCCCCGAGGGCGCCCAGGACGCCACTTTGGTCGTTGGCGGCGACGGCCGCTACTACAACGACCACGTGATCCAGCTCATCATCCAGATCGCCGCTGCCAACAATGTCAAAAAGGTCATTGTGGGCGAGAACGGAATCCTCTCAACGCCAGCCACGTCCCACGTGATCAGAGTCAGAGGGGCCACCGGCGGAATCATTTTGACGGCCTCTCACAACCCTGGTGGCCCCAAAAACGACTTGGGCATCAAGTACAACTTGGCCAACGGCGGCCCTGCGCCAGAGAGCGTCACGGATAAGATTTACGAGGAGTCCAAGACACTTTCCGCGTACAAGATTCAAAAGCTCGATGCTATCGACATCTCCAAGATTGGCGTGGCCACTGCGGGCCCCATTGAGGTCGAGGTCATCGACTCCACTGCCGACTACGTGGAGCTCATGAAAGACATCTTCGACTTTCCTCTAATCAAGTCGTTCATCTCCCAAGCTGAAGACTTCTCTGTGCTTTTTGATGCCTTGAACGGTGTAACTGGCCCTTATGGACACAAGATCTTCGTGGAGGAGCTCGGCTTGTCGGCAGACTCCATTCAAAACTGCGTGCCAATGGCTGATTTCGGCGGCTTGCACCCAGACCCAAACTTGACGTACGCCAAAACACTTGTGGACAGAGTCGACAACGAAAACATTGCTTTTGGTGCTGCGTCTGACGGTGATGGCGACAGAAACATGATCTACGGCGCGGGTGCGTTTGTCTCCCCCGGAGACTCCGTCGCCATCATTGCCGAGTATGCGGATTCTATCCCATACTTTAAGAAGCAAGGTGTGTACGGGTTGGCTAGATCAATGCCAACTTCCGGTGCCTTGGACTTGGTTGCCAAGCACAAAAACTTGAACGTGTATGAGGTGCCCACCGGCTGGAAGTTTTTCTGCTCCTTGTTCGATGCCAAGAAATTGTCTATTTGTGGAGAGGAGTCCTTCGGCACTGGGTCGAACCACATCAGAGAAAAGGATGGGTTGTGGGCAATTTGTGCGTGGTTGAATGTCTTGGCTGACTTCAACCAGAAATTCCCAGAGGAGAAAACTTCCATTAAGGCCGTTCAGGAGAAGTTCTGGGAAAAGTATGGTAGAACTTTTTTCACCAGATACGACTATGAGGAAGTCTCGAGCGAGGGTGCCGCTGATTTGATCAAGTTGCTCGCTTCTATTGTCGAGAAGGAATCCGCTGGATCTGAGTTGGCTCCAGGATATGTCATCGAGGAGGCGGACAACTTCTCATACACGGATTTGGATGGGTCAGTGTCGAAGAACCAGGGCCTCTTCATTAAGTTCACCAATGGATTAAGATTTATTGTGAGACTATCTGGAACTGGCTCGTCTGGTGCAACTGTAAGATTGTACTTGGAGAAGCACTCCAGCGATGCTTCCACATACACTCTTTCAGTTGACAGCTTCTTGAAAGACGATGTCGCTTTCGTCTTGGACTTGTTGAAATTCAAGCAGTTCTTGAACAAGGAGGAACCAGACGTGCGTACATGATGCTACATCTCAAAATAAAAGGCTATAAATGTCCTGCACTACAGTGGCGTGATTGAAGTCATCATCTTAAATATCACATTTATAAATACACCATAACAACATAACATATTCCTATCGAAAGCCTCTGAAAGAAAACATGTCCTTATGTATTGACGGTCAACCTGTCTTTTGTCTTTTTGAAGCGTCGTCTTTGAACGTATCTTCGCGCTTGAGTACTCGCATCGTGCTGTTCAACATCGACAGCGAGTCCTCGTAGCCTTGTGCCCGGAGCAAATCGTCAAGGCGTTTGCGCATAGAGTTTTCACGCAACCGTGCTGCTTGTTCCATGGCCTCCAACTCCATGATCCGTGTTCTGTACAAGTCGTTAACTAACTCCAACTCAGAAATCCGCGTTCTGAGCACGTTCACCTCGTAGGAATTGCTACCGCTGTGTCCCGAATTGCCGTTTGGGTTGTTGTTATTATGTGGGTTCTGTTCCTGCTCATCTTGGCCGTTCCGCGATCTTTGAGAATCCGATTTACCGGCACCGTTCGTCTCGTTGGTGATAGAGCCGGTACCAGAGCTAGAGCTAGATTGCTTTGTTGGGGGACCTGGGGTGGCAGAGTAAGCATGTTCGGCCCCGTACAGAACCGGGCCCTGGGCGCCAGAAGCCGCAGTGAGCTGTATCGTTGGCTGCAGAATCTGTTGCGACGCCAGAACAGGTGTGGTCCGTTGCTCAGGTGTAGGTGCGGCGGAATATGCCGCGGAACTGAGATTGCTCGGAAGGTGCGGCAATTGTGGCGGTAAAGACGAGCCCGGCACGTTGTGGATGGGGGGCAATGACGGCATCGGGTGCTCGACCGATGTGGGGCGGGTGTGGGAGTCCAGGAGCGCAAACTGGGGCCCGAAGGAAGGTGAGGCGAGGACTTTCTCGCCCAGGTCGTGGGCCAGGCCCAAGGCGGGCAACAGTGGTGGCTTTGGAGAGGATTCGAGCGTTTTTCGGGGCGTCCCGAGCTGCGGCGACTCTGGCTTGACTTTACTGGCAGAGGAGTTCAAGAGAGACACGCCGCTGTGGCTCGGGGCTGCGGAGGGTCCCTTGAATGAGGCGGAGGGCCCCAACTCGTTGGACATGTTCTCTAAGGCGCCAGCGGCCTGCATGGCGGTCAAGGCGCTGGAGGGCGATGCCGCACCGGTAGCGGAGCGGGCGTTCAGCACCAGCGACGTCGTCAGGAGCAAAAGTGGAGACGTAATGCGCTGCAAGCCGGGGGCAAACTGCGTGGGCGTCAGCGCCGGGTAATGCAACAGCTGCACCTGGTGGGGCAAGGCGCCGTGGAAGTGGCCCGGCTGGCTCGGGAAAACCGTGCTGGAGTACGGCGCCTGTGCGTAGCTACCGGGCCGCAGCTGCTCGAGCGGCGAGTCCTGGGGCAGCCGTTTGCCGGGCGCCAGGAGCGGCAGCCGGTGGCGGTGCGGAGGGCCGGGCTTGGCGTCCTTCAGCTTGAGCTCGGGCGTGTTCGGGCCCAGCAGCTTGGAGAAGTTCGGCTGCTTGATGCGGTTCCGCAGCTTGATGGTGTCGGTCTTCAAGCTGATGGGCCGCGGGCGGCCGTGCAACTTCAAGAAGAGGCCGCAGGCATTGCAGAGCACCTGGCCGGTCTCGTCGCGGCGCCAGAGCGGCGTGGTTTGCGTCTTGCAGTTGCGGCACACAGGCAGCCCGATGTTGGTTTTGGTGGTCGTGGTGCCGTTTGTGATCTGCGTGGTGGTCTTGGCGTTGGGGTGCACCGGGTTGGGGTTCATCACCGGCGGCAATCTCTGGATCTCGCTCATCGCTGGCGGCGGGAAGGGTGTTTGTGGCGCGGGGCGGATTGTGGGGGGTGCCAAGATATCAGGGGCGGCTGATCTCTGTTTGTGGCCGGCGGGTGTGTTGGCGGCAGCGGCGTCTAGTGGGAGCTGTGTGGCAAAGCGGATTTTGAGGGATGTGATTTTTTTACAGCACCTAATCAGTGGGCCGGCGGGTAAGTACGGGGATCACGTGCTGGGGCTGCTGGGGAAAAAGAGACGGGATGCCGGGCTCTGGGGTCTAGGCCGAAAGGCGGGAATTTGGGTATCGGGTCCTGCTAGGGGTGTGGTGGAAAGTGCTCCAAAGAAAAAGTGTGGTAATCAGAAGTGTATTTTTTTTATCGCATTTTTTATCTACAGAAATCGCACTGTCGTTTTTTCCTCTCGATAAGTGGGACAGGTGAGCCTGGCGCAAAAAAAGAGAAAGTCGCCCTGCGGCACGCGAGTCTACTAAACAGGCCAGGAGGGGACACCCATGTACTTGTGCCATTTCTTAGCATGGGCGGTGCTCCGAAAAAACGGCGATATCGATCCGCCCCCCTGATTTTTGTTCATTTTTCCCTGCTCTTTTTCTTTTTTTTTCTTGTTTTTTTTGGCGTGTTTGTCGGGAGCCTTTTTCCTCGGCTGCATGGCTCTCTGCTCACATTAGACAGGCTGGGCCGGAAATCTACTGCGTTTCCCGTTTGCTCTATCAGTGGATTTCGCGATAAAGAAACCGCTGGAACGAAAATTTTTCATATTGCGACATTCGCGGCTGCCGGGCGCGACTTTTCGGATAAGCGCGACACGCTGCGCAAATAAAAAGCGCAAACGAGCTGGACGAGCCCGGAATGCCATGAGAACAATAAGTGCCGTCGTCTCCGCTCTTTCGAGGACTCGCCAAATTATGGGATCTGGGATCTGAGAGCTGAGCTGCCGTTGGTTTGTATATGCAATTCTGATGGAGTCACATTGCAAAGCCCTATGTTTTTCAGAGAGCCCTGTGTTTTTAGTGAGCCTTGTTTCTCAGTGAGCCATATGTTTTTCGGTGAGCCTGATGTGCAGCGTGCACACTGCGTATCAGATAGAGATACCCACGGCGGGGTATTCTGAACTTTAAATTCTCAGATAAGATACAAGCATAACATACCGCGTCCGCGCCAAGACTTGCTCGCGTTTCTAGAATCCTCCTAAAGCTTGCCCAGAGTTGTTATCCGGGGGTGTGCTTTTCGAGAAAAGAAACGCATGCTTATGTAAGCGCGATAAGGCATTTTGCTAATGCCGTGCCAAAGTTGCACAGCGCCATGAGAGTCTCAGAAATCACTATTTCCCGCTTGTTCGCCAAATCTTAGGTTTTCGTTGGAAATACTCATATGCACCCTTACACGTGTCTTTGGTCTTTCCTATTCCTGAAGCCGTACACCCGCCGTTGCCAGGCATCATGACTATCTATGCGGAAACGATTCTATGCGGTTATGAGCAACATGACTGGGAGGCCCCTATCGTTATCAAAAAGTCATGTTGAGCCATTTTAACTCCTTTCGGCATGTTCATCTCAATCTTTGTCTCAACACTGTAGAGGTCACATCTTGAAAACCAACATAATATCTGAATGTTACCGTATTCTTCGATTTACCGCTCCAATGAACTTCGGCTTCAGCGAATCCACCAGCCTTGCGTTGTGGCAGGAGTAGAGTTTTTGTCGTATCCTAGAGATTAAGTCCTTGTAAAACTTTGGCAAAAAAGCACGTTTGTGCGAGAGTGTCACAAATATGCTTTGTAAGACAATACATGATATCTCCAAGTCGTGTATAACCTCATAGTTCAGTTTTGCTTATTGAATTTCTTCACGATTTCTTTCCTCAACTGCCCATCCATAAAACAGAACCAGAAGTCTGCTTGGATTGCACGATCATCTTTGATCCTCTGAAGGCAGAGAACTGCCACTGGATAGGGAAGATATGTCGAATGATACCTTAAAGTATCGCCCTGATTCCCGAATTAAGACTCGCTCATCTCACAGCTCTCAATCTCCAGGATTGAGTTGCACAAGCCATTTTTTTAATCTTTCTGTGCACTAGAAATGAGGCCTGACTCTGCCCAAACACATAGATCATGGACCAAAGGGTCAGAACAAATAACAAAGCAGCTTAACAATATTTCTCTTATATTCCTGAAATACGAGTTGGTCCCAAACAATCGAGCGGCACCAAGGTCGCATTTAAAACACTGGATCTAAATACTGAAGACATACAAATCCAGAGACCAACATAATGATAGCCCCGTAGTCCAGAATCAACAACTCATGCATCGCTTGCCGATGCTGCGTCATTTCTGCTTCAAAGTCTAAGAAGCGCCGAAGACTCTTGAGCTGCCAGCCTCTTGTGCTGAGACATGGACTTTTATTTTTGTTTTAGTAATCGATCCACGTATTCGCCCATCTTGTCTGCGCTGGCCATTGACTGAAAGTCTTTGGATGTTCTTTTACCAGTCAAATACGTCTCCTTGAAAACAAGATCCAACTCTCCTGAGTGTATTTTAGAGAGATAGTCGACTTTAGACCCGACTAGATAAAGACCCATTTTGCTCAGCGCTGTCAAGCCTTGGATCTCACGCAAGCTAGGCTCACCACTGCAAGAGACAATCAAATAATCCCCAGCAGAGCAATTATGCAAACTCTGGAGTATCGGCCATCCGAAGGAAAACATTCCCGGCGTGTCGCACGACAAATCAGTTTTTCGGATTTGTCGCTCGAGGAGTATTTCCTCGATCAAGCATCTCATTTGCTCTAATTTCACAACAATCAGGACCTTTGACCACGGATATCCCAAGATTCTCATGTACTGATACAAGTAGACACAGAATTTTGCTTCGTCAACATTAGCACTGCTCTTTGTGCTCGGAAGCCTGATGTGTTGAGCGCAATATCGAAACCCAGGATTAAATGAGGCTTGGATCTTGACTCCTGTCCACCCAGTTAATCGAGCGATCTCGTTTCGAGACTCTGAAGATTTTATCAGAACTCTGGTAGCCCAATCAATGGTCGAGTCACCAAGAAGTGAAAGTCTCTTGAAGCCCCCCTTTACAAGAGGAATAGATGATACATTATGCACGATGATATTATCGAAAGTTCTGTCAACACTTGCTAGATCCGCATCTGTCAAGACTAGAAACTTCGCCCGCGCCGCAAAAAAACGTCTGATTTGGTCATAATCACCTGCTTTCAAGTTGCGCAAATCGAAATTATCAAGAGGAAGACATTCTTCAATTTCAGCAAAAATTGAACGAATGGATGAATAGTCATCAACGATTTTGTCAACTGCGCTTTCGAATGTCTCTTCTTGAATCAGTGCAAAAGGATAGCCGGTGAAGTTTTCTTTTGATAGCAGGCTCAAAAATTGTCTCCATTTCGGCTCCACGTGTGAATGGTATAACATGAGCGCATTGCGAATAGAAGACAGGAAATCGTACTCTTCCAAGCCCAAAACCTCGCCTAGCTTTGCAACTTTTTCTAGGTTTTTGAGTGCCATCTCTATTCTTTGTGCCACGTATTCATTGCTTGAACCAGCCTTATAACAACTTGATGAAAGTGCGCTTTCAATATGCAACAATTCAACAGCTGCTTTTGTTGGCATGACAACTAGGCATGTTTCCTCTGGCCAATTCACGGAGACGTTTCTCAAGAACGCCCCGATCAATGTACTTGTTACATTGCCCCTAGGATTTTCAATCATGACGCTCTTCCGCAGCAACATCTGTATGAGTGCCTCAGAAACATCTTCAGGCGTTGTGGTTGTGGTCGCATTTGAAAGGGTTATCTCGCAATTGGCGAGTTTGTAAGAGCTGTTCTTTTGGGCAGAGTAGTTATTATCGAGTTTCTTTCGTTTTTCAACCGAGACAGCTCCAAAAGATTCCAAGGCCTCACCGCTAATACAATCAACCGAGAATTGAGGCGCAACAATTTGGTTTTCTTTGTTCCAAACGCCAATCAAAGATTTTGATAACGCGTCATCGTCATCCAAGAGTAAAGGCTGTTCATCGGGAGAAGGTAGTAAGATCAAGGCATTGTAGGTGTCGGCTACACCATTCGAGTTCCAATCAACAAGTACGTCATCGTGGCAATCGTGCACTTTTGTGAGGATACAACTATATATGCCATACCTCACAATCCGACCAACACCGCCGTGTCGATTTGGTTTGTGAATTTCGAGAAGAAGAACAGAGTCGCCGGCCTTGAGAGTTGAGATGAGTCTTTTGTTTTTGAGTGCTAGTTGAGCCTTGCTGCCCGCAATCTTCATGCTCTGAATCTCCGAGAAGTATTTGCTGGATCCTTTGATGCCCTTTTCCGTAGACGGGTCAGTGATCGTGAGCCTTTCAAGAACATTTTTCGACCGAGCATTGACCTGCTTAAGGTATTGAAAGGCATTCCGCGCTCTTGTATGGGAAACCCACGAAGGGGACATCGGCATAAAGGAGGGAAAGGTTGGGTCTGGAGAGAAGGGCACGAGAGCGCTCCCGTCAAACAAGTCAAACACGTCATTCTCTGTGAACGATGAGTGCTCGTGTAGTTTGCGGAAGCTCAAGTTACAATCGAGCGCCAAGTCGGTGACTACTGAGGCTAGGAAGTCGGGGGATTCTTCGGCTTGGCAGCCAAACTCCCTCGCCAAGGCAACGAGGCCGTCGGCGGGGAGGGTAAGGAGGTTTCCGGTGAGCTCCTCGGCAGAGACGTCGAGCGGCAGCGAAGCCCGCTCGGCCAGAGGGAGTTTGCCCTGGAGCCCCTGTCTTTCGATGGCGTTCAAAAGCACGGAGAAGCCAGGGATCTTGGGCCGGAGCTGGAGCCAGAGCAAGGAGGCCAACCGCTGGGCGGGGTAGTCAAAGCCGTCGCGCATGAAGTGAAAGGGGAGCCAGGAGTCGCGGATGATGTCGCGACATTCCTCTTGCGGCAGCACAGCACACGCCATGCAGAAGTGGAGGAAGCTGTGCCAATGCAGCGCCGGGACGGCATGGTCGCGCGGCCTCTTTCTCAACGCCCTGGCGTAGCTTCCGAACATCAGTTCCTTCCATTGGGGAAACAAAGGATGCTCCACAAGCACGGCGGGCAGCGCCGCTAGGAGCACTCTCAAGAACAAGAGGGCGCATGTCTGGAGACGGGACTCCTGCTTCCGGAGGGCCATGGTGGCCTTCAAGATACGCAGCGTCAACTCGTGGAGCTTGAGCGGCTCGGCTAGCATGGAGGCAAGGCACGTGGCCTGCCCCAACGCCTCGAATTCGTAGGAGGCCATCTGGAGAAGCAACTCGAGATGCGAGTTGGGGGCGTCCGCGTGGAAGAGGCGCCAGGCGGCCGCCTGGAAGTGCGGGCCGGAGACAAGCTCGGCCAAGCCCTCTGCAAACGTGCATTTCGCGTGGATTTCGGATACCTGCGGCGGGGCGAGTTTTTTGGGGGGCTGCGCGGCCACGTGCTTGACGATGTCGCGGAGCGTCCGGGGGTTCATTTTCGGCAACGATCCGGCAAGACGCGGGCCGGGGGACAGAGTGGTGTGGGAACCGAGTGGTGTGAAGGGCGGCCGTAGGGCCCAGGCTGTTCTGATGGGATGGGCCTCGCTAGGCGCACCAGGCCGGGGCCGGCGCGCAGACGAAAAACTGTTTGTATTTCTGCTTGAGTACAGGATATTCCAACTCAATGTCCTGTCCACAAGTGGTTCCCAACTGGTACAGTTGAGATATCGGATTCGACATGATGTACTAGCGTGTGGAAATAAACCTTTATTTAGGAAAAACTAAAACCACTTTTGTGTCAACTGACCTTCTAAAAAGATCTCTAGAGGGAATTCTCTTCCCTTCATATACTCGTCGTGCTATTTGGTTCCGGGTAAGTGGTGCGAACTTTAATGTCTCATTTGTCACATGATTAATTAGGGCTAAGCGTCTAGTTCTCACATTCCCCCCAATCATGGACGTTCATTCCACTGAGTTTAATGAGCTTCAAAAGTGTATCGGGCGCGAGAGATTTCGTAAACATGTCAGCGATGTTATCTTTAGTAGAAACATAGTCAACCTGTATCTTGTTTTCGCGAATCTTCTCTTGCACGTACGCTGTCCGGACTTCCTCATGTTTAACTCCTTCATGAAACCCAACATTGTTCACTGTAGATATCGTTCCAGAGTTATCACACC